GATCGGTACCGACATCAGTTTTGATAATGTTGCACACCAGGAGAGGAGTTTGTTTCTACGGAACTCCTTGCGAAAGGGAACCGTCACAGCAGCTTTGCCGGCGAGAGGTAGCTGTTGGTACTTGCTATCACGCAGGCTACTTCTCTGAATGCCTCCATGTTTACAGGGGTGTGATTTTGGCGCTGGTTGTTTCAGGTTTCCTCTTTCAGGTCCCTTCACAGATGTAGTTGTCTGCCCAATGAAATTAACCAACACAGCCGATCGCCAGGTCTGCTTCAAAGTAAGTTTTTTTTCTCATATTCGTGTGTCTTAATATCATTTTCTTTTTATTCGTTTTTGCTGTGCAGCGCTATAGTGCTGCAACAGCGAGTAATAAATGGCAACGCGCACCAGACTAGCCGGTGCGATCATGTGTTTTGTGCAATTTAGCCCATCGAACGATTGCTTGTTAATGATTTTCACTGCTTTGTACTTTAGTTTATGCAAAAATAGTTCAAACATTGGAAAAGTTAAAAATTTCACGCACCAGCATATGAAAGCTGAATCCGAAACCTCGGAGGGTGAATATCTTCATCCCGAGTTAATAGTTTACCCGCCAAAATTTTCACGAGGCCGTAGGTGTTACTCAAGGACGCGGGAACGCTGAATTTGAGTAGGCAAGATTAGGCGTGAGCAGGGAGTCATTATTCTGAAATTTCAGCCTCCTAGACTCCATAGCTCCCGAGATATTAATTTACCCGCAAAAAACTTTCCCGAAGCCGTACGTGTTACTCGCGGGCACTGAAAGGCTGAATTTGAATGGGCAAGGTTGAGTGTGGGCAGAGGGTTATTACCGTAAAATTTCAGCCTCCTAGACTCAGTGGTTCCCGAGATATTAATTTACCCGTAAAAAACTTCCACCGGGCCATACGTGTTACCTGCGGGTACGGGGAAGCTGAATTTAAATTTGCGACGTAAAAAACTTTCACGGGGCCGTATGCGTTACCCGCGGGTACGGGGAAGCTGAATTTAAATCTGCGGAACCGTGAAAAACTTTCACGGGGCCGTACACGTTACCCGCGGGTACGGGGAAGCTGAATTTAAATTTGTGGGGTCACACGTTCACGGGGCCGTTTGTGTTACCTGTGGTACGGGGAAGCTGAATTTAAATTTGCGGGGTCACACGTACAGGGCCGTACGCGTTACCCGCGGGTACGGGGAAGCTGAATTTAAATTTGCGGGGTCACACGTGGTTAAAAAACTTTCACAGGGCCGTACGCGTTACCCGCGGGTACGGGGAAGATGAATTTAAATTTGCGGAGTCACACGTGGGTTTCCCCTAAATTTTCAGCTTCCTAGCTTTTGTGGTTCCCGAGTTGAAAGTTGCGGACAAGTTGCTGTGGACACACACAAACACACACAGACAACCCGTAACAATGTGCGTTCTGTACTGCTGTTACACAGCACAAAACGCATAAAAACGCATATTATCGAAAGATTGTCCGTTCGTGTGTGTGTGTGTGTGTGTGTTCAGAACTTTGTCACCCACTTTCAACTCTGCAGCCAGGGTAGCTGGAGGCTGGAATTTTGGGGACATATTCAACCCCTTCCCTAGTGTGTCATCCACCTGTTTTAAAATTTTCGCTCATGCGCACCTAGACCTCGCGTACGCACCCTCGAAAAAAATATGCAGATTTCTTTGGCGGGGAACGATTTCGTGGACCAGACAAGACAGAAGGCTAAGGCTTAGCGGGGATATTCTCTGTGCATGTGAGAGCTAAAAATTTCAAATTCAGCTATCACTTGCGCTTATACCGCGCATACAGTCGCATCAGAACTCACAGTTAACACTGTGTTCACTTGAGAACTAGCCGGAAAACAGCAGCTGAAATTTTGTCCAAGTATTTATCTTTCATATGGGAAGTCATACATCTAAATTGAGTTTCGATTCGCACTTGTGCCACGACTTAGGGTACTTCAAAGATATTGGTAACGAAGTGGCCACTTCACTTACCAGATAAGGTGCGAGGCTGAGACTTCGCTGGGATATTCTACTTTCATGCATTTTCTTAATTCTGCTTTGAGGTGTAATCCTCTGCTGGTTGAGAAATACTCAGCTTTGCCGCAGATTCAGAAACAAGTGCATTTTGCAGCGAATGACCACCCTCATCATCTCCTAATATGTAAAAGAACTCATTTACACATTTGGATTTTTTGACGAACGACCGCTTTTCAGTGAACTGGAAATTTGCATTTTTTCGAATAGCGAACATTTGCCAGAAAAACGACCGGGCTTCGTGCAAAAACTGGTAATCAAGTACGCTGGAGGTCCATGCAGCCCCATAGTGTAACACCTTCATCTCAACTGATCTCCTTTCCTTTACACGAGGGGAAAGGCCAAAACTTAGCCAATATGAATCTAAATGTTAAAGTACAGTGCAGGAATTATTCCTGCTGTTAGCGACCCGCAAGTTTAGCGCAAAAACGCGTAATCGCACCGACAAACTTGGTGATTTGGAGCCTGAATTTTCTTTAATCTGTGGATTTATTGCGTTGTTATTCGAAGTTCCACTAGATAATTTATTTTGCTTTGAGTTTAGGTGAAGACGACAGCTCCAAAACAGTACTGTGTTCGTCCAAACTCGGGTTTCATTGAGGCTGGTGAAACAGTTGAAGTATCTGTTATGCTTCAGCCGTTCGAAGCCACCAATACAGAAGCATTTGAAAAGCACAAATTTATGGTGCAGAGCGCCTTCACGCCACCTGGAGACCATACAATAGGTTTGCGCATTTCATATAAGTCGCTGATTTTTGTGGTTTTTGTCTGCGAAGGGCTACACCAGTGTGCTCATGTGATTTCTCTGCGCTCTGAGTCCGCGATTAGCGAGTAATTCTGATAGCGTACTTGGCCAGTGCAGTGCCTGTCGGTGTGGTTTTTCGCTCTGTTTGGTGCCACGTGGCCAGTAAAAGCTAACCGCTCGGGTGTTATTTGCACAACGGTCAGAGCGGATGGGCGTTGAATAAAGTGGTTTATACATCAAATTCAAAGTAAGGGAAAATGTGGGAAAAACAAATCCAAAAGTGCTATCAGTATTATGTCTACTTGGGATACCTGGAGGCAGTGGTTAACTGATATCGTGGATATCGATGTAACATATATCCTGGATCTCGTTCAGCATGGCTTGCAACTTTTTCATTGACTTCGATGCTTTCCACCTCCGTACCTCTCCATAAATACGAATTAGTGAGTAGGCCCAATATGCGGTGTCCATTGTTATTTAACCTGTCGTGGATATCATCCGCTTCGCCCATCTTTTGTCTTTCATCCTTACCGTATGTCCAGTTGAACAGAGTAATGTCTGTTCTTGTTACCACTAATCAGGTCTTCAGCAACTCACGTTTTAGCTTCTTACTATATTTATTGAAATGCGGTTAAATAGATTTTAAAATTCACCAGGCGATTAGTGCCCGATACGGGGTCTCGAGATTTTATCGTCGGCAGCATGGTTAAGGATGGGCTTGCTGTATGAGCGCTTTTAGCGCTTTTATCTCTAAGCTTTGTGAGGTTCGGCAAAAAAAATAATTCGCAAACGCACGGGCTGCCTGCGCGAAGATGCGTTTTTTGCATAGTTCCTCGCAGTTTTTGTCGCTACCGACATCGGTTTTTTCAGCAAATCTTTCTAGCTAAACAAATTAAGACTAGCCGCCAAAACCGGCAGGAAACACCCCCTTAAAATTTCAGCTTTCTCGCTTTTCTAGCTCCTCAGTTAGCAACTTACTGGAAAAAATTTTTCACGATTTCGCACTCGGATATCACGCATACCCGATGTCTGGGTTTGAACTCATTGAGACTTACTTGGACGGGGAACATCTTCCTACAGTCTTTTAGCTTTACAGGTTCGCGAGTTATGAACTTACTCGAGAAAAACTTTGATGAACCCGTGCGTAGGTACCACCCATGACCGAGGGCTGGGTTTGAGCGCGTTGAGACTAATGTGGGCGGAGAACACCCTCTTAATTTTACATTCTTCTAGCGTCTCAGATCCCCGAGTTATGAACTTGCCCAGGGAGAATTTTGGCTGGCCCATACGCGGGCACCAAACTTAGGTTTGAGCTTAGCTCATTAGTGCCTACTTGGACGGGGAACATTCTTTTAAAATTTCAGCTTTCTGGCATCTCAGATCCCCGAGTTATGAACTCACTCGGGGAAAATTTTGACGGGCCCATACGCGGGTACTACGCTTTTTGAGCTCTTTAGTACTTACTTGGACGAGGAACATTCCCTTAAAATTTTATTTCTCTAGCTTTTCTGGTTCGCGAATTAGCAGCTTGCCCGTAAAAAACTTTGGCGGGCTCTTACGTTGATATCACGGGGGGAAGACCGCCCGTTCTGGGGAGGGGGCCAGTACGTGCATGTAGATTAAGTTCTCAAAGTTTCAGCCCTGTATTTTTTGTAGGTCTCGAGATGAAAAATCGGTACAGAGGCCCTGCGCATACACAGACACACACAAACACACACAGACAACCTCTCGTCAATATGCGTTTTCCGTATTGCATAGCTGCAAAAAAAGCATAAAAACTGAAGAATAGTGCTTTTTCTCGACCCTGGTTGTTTTATAATGGTCTGGTAGGACATACACCCTAGTTCTGTTACAACGGAATCATTACGGCCAACCCACTAGTTGTTGAC